TTCATTTGGTAAGAAGCCCTGAGATGTGCTTTATTGTTTCCAAGATTTATCTCTTACTCTGGGTGACCACAACTCATTCTCATTGTTGAATACTACACTCTCTTGTGGGGATGCACCTTGTGGTGTCTGTTGTGTTGTGTTGATAGGAACAAAACTGCAATGACCATTTTTTACATGACTCCAGGTTGTGCAGGCGATGTGTGTCCTCACATGCACAAGTAGCCAGTGACCACAGGAACAGGAGGGAATTGCCTGACTATGGATCATGCACGCTGTCAACACGACAAGCTGATGCCACTACATTTGTGCCTATCTGTGTTTCGGTAAAGTTAACTAGGTTTTTCTAGCACCATTATCTGCGGTCTTTGGTAGACTGTAGCCCCCGCGAGGGTTACTCCTCTTTTTATCTCCGTCTTTAGAACACTGCCTGCACTGGGGGCAGGAGCAAAGTAAATGCTAAATGCCTGAATGTTAGGGCCTATGGATGGCTCAGGGCAGACCCTTTCCTATTCTGAGAAAACAACTCAAGATGTTGCTGCCGGCAGCGCAGCATGAGCAGCAGTTTGCAAGCACCAGGTGTGTGATATTCTGCACAAAATGCGGGCGTTAGAAGCATACCGTGGTTATGTGTGCTGGCTGGAGGGTTTGCCTGCCTGCACCTAGGGGAGGGCCCCCTGGCTCACCCCTCAGGTCCCTGAGAACCAGGCCCCTTGAGATAGACACCCACCAAGGTGAAAGCCATGGTGTAGAGGAAAATCACAGGCCAGGGGACCTGTTTTTGAGTCCTGGCCCTGCCATTAAGAAGCTGGATAACCTTGGCCAAGTCCCTCTGTCACCTTCCTCTTCTTGTAAAATGCTTTTGGACAGTGATAGCTAATTGTTAAACTTGAGCTCTCATCAGAATCAGCTAGGAAGCTTGTTAAAAATGCAGATTCCCAGGCTCCAGCCCACAGGAATTGGAGGAGGAGGTCTGGAGTGGGAAGTGCTACATATATCTTTACCTAATAATGAATTTAGAAAAAGGTTAAGCAGAAATACTCCCCTACGGTGAAAACATTAAAAGTACATGGGGAATCACAGTTAAGCAGCAAAGCAGGGCTGTCTACCCCTGGGCTGTGCGACCTACAGGCAACCACTTTTAATCACCTGTTACAGATCTTCAGGTGGTAACCATTTTATTGCTAAACAACAGGCCAGTTTTTGTTTTATTGATTTCAAACATTACCTGTGTCTTCCTGTTGAGGTAAGGGATTAGCTCACTCACTACACCTCCAATCCCAATACAGTTCTGGTACTGTTTGAACCTAATTCTGAGGTAGCTGGTCTGCCCACTACACTTAGAGAACCTTCCATGTAGGGTCACCTCCTGTCTCCCCACTGCACAATTAGGATGAGCAGATTTCCTCTTAAGGGACTGGCATGTTGAGCATCTGACTTCTTTATAACCACCAAGGACTGGTGTTCTACAACAATAGAACATACAGAAATGATAATCACAATCTAAAACTAACCTGACAAAGCTGAACTTCACAGACATGGCGAATCAGAGAAGGATACCAAAGAATACTTAACTGCACGACTGCACTTCCGTAAAACTTAAAACGAGGCAGAACTGAAACACAGAAAACGCAACAAACAAAACAGGCAAACCCATCTACCAGGATAAAAGTCAATAGAGGGGTTACCTTCAGAGGTGATAATGACTGAAGAGTGTGCTTATGAGAGGCCAGTGATGATGCTTGATTTGGATGCTGTTTACATGGTCATGTTTATGCTGTAAAAACCTGAGCTGTACCCTTACAATCTGTGCACTTTTCTCAATGTTTATTTCCTTACAAGTGTTGCCAATAGAAAGAGAAGTTTGGCTCTTCTTCCTTCCTCTCCCCAAGTGAGTCCTTCCTCAGGATGGGCCCAGGCAGGCAGAGCAAGCCAGAGATCGGGTCCCTGTCTGTGTGACACCACACAGGGCAGAGGAGGAGGGCTGGCACCTTGGTCACTATGTGTTTCAGAGTTCCAGCCTCGCAGTCCGCAGACTGGAATGGCCTGCTGGGTCAAGGAAGTAGGTGGAAAGAGGCCCAAGCATGTTCCCAGGGAAGGATGACAAGATTCCAGCCGACCAAGACTTGTGTGCCATGTTCCCCACCTGCTAGCAGCCAAGCTGTCCAGGGGAGCGTGGCGTATGGGCCCCCAGCCCGCCTCCCCAGGCTGCTAGCCAACCCAGTGTAAATATTATTGTACTCCTTCGCATGTGAAGGACGTTAATTATTAAAACACATGCCACCCAGGGTAGTGCACTGTAATTAGGTTCAAATTAAATTAGCATCCTCTTGTAATTAGGACATCAATAACCACTCTTGAGGCGCTAGTTCTCCAGCCCCTCCCTGTTGCTTCCCAACATGGGCTAATACAAGAAAAGGGGTCCATTGACTCTCTCCCCAGGACATGGAAATAATCAAACCAATAAATAAAGTGGAGGCAGCCTTGTAAGTCCCTCCTTCCACTGCCCACCTTCCTCCTGGCCCTGCACATTGGCAGGGAGGGAGATGGGATCACTGAAGAGGGGTCTTTGGTCACAGGCACTAGTACTACCCTGGTGGCTAGCCCAAACCCTAGGCTCTACTGTACCACTTCTCACGCCTGCCCAGAGATCTGCAGCACTGCTTCCTGCCATCTGCAGCCCCAACTCCACCCTCTTCCTTTGTGGCGCCTTCCCAGTCATTGGGCCGGGGCCTCGGTGCCGTCCTGGTATGCTGCTTACCACTATGGCTTGTCATGGGGGTTTGGGCACCTGCTGCCTCCTCCGCTCCTGGACTGCATGGCCCCTGAGAGCCCATGGAGATGGCTGTGCCACTCACTGGACCCAACACAGCTGGAGCTGGCTGGCTCTTAGTCGGTGTTGGATGTCTGGGTGGGTGGATAACAGGTGCTCAAGAGATTCTGTTCAACTGGAAGGGTGGATGGGGAAGCAAAGCTTATGATTCTGACAACACAGAGCAAGTTGTATAACTTCAGTGGGGTAAGGACCTCTGGAGAGGGTTTTGGTGCTTCTTGTATAAGTTCTGGTGCTGACTGGTCTCAACCATGGCTAAAGGAAAAATATGCCAGTGCACTGCACAAAGGGTGCACCTCGAATTCTGCCTGCCCTAGATACAGCCCTGCCCAGGAGGGACCCTGGGAGCTCAACAGACATGGCAGAGAGAGGAAGTGGAGGCATCGCCTTCAGGCCTCGTAAATGTTCTGACCTTTGTCTATACCAGCGTTGGAAGAAAAACAAAGTATGAAGTGGGAAGGTTCAGGCATCATTTCAACTGGAGAACCACGAAGGGTTTATCCTTGGGCGCAGAGGTAACCAAGGCAACGGCTAAGACAGTGAGATGATTTCAGAGCTTTCTGCAAAGAGTGGGTTGGCATCTTGCCCCTGTGCCAATTGTGCTCACAGTGGATACACACCAACTACTTCTTGGCCCTACCAGGAGGTAGAGAAATAGGTGACACAGCTATTCTCTTCACCATGCAAGCCTCCAGGCTGGATAAAACCAAATGAGGGGCCATGGAGAGGGGGGGCTCGCCTACTGGGAACAGGACAGCTTCTCAAGCAGTGAGGATGGTGGAATGGTGGAGAGAGCCACGGCAGTTCATCCCCTGCACTCCTGCTGACTCTGGGGCCCGCAGGACCTCTGAGCACTCATGGGACACCCAGTTTACTGGACCACAAAGGGTCTGACTGTAGGAGCATGAGCACTTGCTTGGCCAGCCCAGAGGGGCGGCAGGCAGAAACCGCAAGCCCTGAGAGCTCAGGGGTCTCCGGAGCCGCACTGAGCGCTCCTCGGCCCCTCCTCCCGTAACTGGGATGCACCCTGAGGCAGGAAGCCAGAAGGCAGCGGTCCTGCTTAGAACTTCATGGGAACTCTGGGCCTGACAAGTGGGTGTAGGGGCAGAACCGCCATAAGCCTAACCTCCCGGGGGCCCAGGATGTCTGGTTTAGGAATGAGAAGTGGACAGCCACCACCCCGACTTCTCCCAAGATCAAAGGGCCAATCCGACATGGCAGCTTGGTGCGGCACCTGATCAGAGTGGAGGTTCAACGTGGGGCTGCCAGACACGCCAAGCTTCACCTGAGTATTCCCAGGAGACAGGCAGGGCCACACCACGAGGCTGTGGGGTTTGGGAGAACAGGCAGCTCCCCTGGACACTGGGAGTGGTGGGTGCCCCATCACACATACTGCTTGCTTCCCCTGCCCCTCTCTGAGTGCCAGAACAGGAGCCTCCCCACAAACCACAGTGGCTCCCCTTGAGCCGCCCTCCTCCCTTGGGAGCTCGGAGTAGCCTGGGGTTTTTGAGCTCCTTGCCAGCTCTACCTGGAGGACCTTGGGGGATGTCTTGTCAAGTCACACAGAGCCAGAGCCAACCTGGAGAGACAGGCCTCTCTTCGGCCAGTGGCCCTGACCTCCCTCAGAGCAACCTTGTCCTCCAGCTCTTTTCTAGTGAACACACATGAGGAGAGAGCTGGGCAGGCCCCAGGGGCCCATGTTCTTGATCTATGCTGAGCCAGCCTATCTGGTGTTAGCTTTACTCCAGCACAGCAGAAGAGGGGAGCCCTGCTGGCCCCCCTGCTAGGGCTCTGGCAGGACTTGGCCAAGAAAAGGACCAGTGATTCCCCACCTGGGTCTGGTGAGACCAAGCCCGGTCTTCCATATATAACCGGTCCTGGGCACTGCTTGCCAGCTAAACCTCTAAGGTCCTGGCCACAGTCATGTGCAGTGGGATCTAGACTGATGAGTTTAAAGAGAGGGGCCCCAGCCTTCTGCCTGATGGCCCTGGTGCCAGGTAATGCCAACCAGGCCCCAGAAGAATTGCCCTGCTTCCCCAGACTGGCTGTTTCTAGTGGGTATGGCCAGGCACGTGGATGATTACCTTGGGAATCATTCAAGTGCCCAGGTCTCCTCCAGGCTGTGACTGCTGAGATCCCAGGCTCTGGACTCCATCATGACCAATAAGGCTGCAGACAGCAAGTACTATTTTATTGGGCCTCCAAAGCTTTAAATACAGAAGTGGCGGAGGGATGACGCAGGGGCAGATGTAGACAAACTGGCATTTGGGAATGGACATATCAGAAATCACATAATTAATAGCTGGATGGAGAGGTGGGGAAAGGCAGTCTGGGTGGGGCGCCAGGATCACACCCTCTGTTAGGACAACATCTTTCATGTTTCTTCCTGATTTGAGGACAATTTAAAAAAACCAAACCCCCAATCAAAAACAAAATCATCTGGGAGATACTGTGGAGAACAGAGCAGTACCTTTCACCTTGGAAGGCAATGGCCTGCCCCCTGAAAGCTTTGGGTACCCCCCACCCTACCCTGAGCCCAGGTGTTGCCCTAATAAGACATTTCCACACTGAAGCAAAGCTGGACCCAATCTACACCCCTGATCTGGGGTCTGGAGCTGAAAACATCCTCCTGGTAGAGGCAGAGGAACTGGCGTGAGCAGTGCCGGGGGCCAGACCCAAGTCCCTCCTTAGCGGCTGTAGCCAAACTCATCTGCGTCATCAGCGCGGAAGTCTCCATAGCGCCAAAGGTTCAGCTGTGAGGAAATGGAAAATGGCTCATCAGGGCTGAGAAGGGCCCCATGGGAACCCCAGGGCTAAGCCCCCTCCAGGCCCCTCTGCAGCTTCTGAGGTGAAAACTCACCCTGGCACTCTTGGCTGACTCCTGGGCATTCAGGTATTCTGTAATCTGGAGGGAGAGAGAACACAGGGAACAGTCAAGACAGGGGTATTCCGGCTGCAACCGAGCAGCTCCTGGGATCTTGCAGAATGCCAGGTTGGGTCCCACTGCTCCGCTGCTCAGCACACCCCAATTCCCTCAGAGTAAAATCCAAAGTGCTTAGTTACATCAGTCTCCTTGCTGTTTCTCAACTCTTTGCACTGGCTGTTCCATCTGCTCTGCTTGAAATGCTCTTCCTGCTCACGTCCACCTGGTTACCTACTCCATGCCTTTAAGTCTTTGATAAAATATCTTCCTCTAATGAGGCCTCAGATGATCCTGTTTAAAATCTGCCACCCTTCTACACACTCTGTATTCCTTTTACTTCTATGTTTTCTTTTTCCATTGAGCTTATCTTCTAACATTCTATTTCACTGACTTATTTATTTCATTGTTTGCCTCCTTATGCTTGAAAGTAAGCTCCACAAGGCAGGAATGTTCACTGAGACATGTGGGCCCTCAGTAAATGTCTGCTAAGATAATGAACATGACAGGTGTTTGTCTCAGATATTGTGCAAAGGCATTTTCTACACACCAGAGACATGGTGGCTTCCTATGGGGTATACAGAGAGCTCAACTTCTACAGGGAAACTGAAGCTAACTCCCACGAGTGACCTCAGGAAACTGGGGATCTCCAGAGGGACAACTGGGGGTCAGGCCTCTCCTGTCTGGAGGAGACAGAGCAGCAACTCACCCTGGGGTCTTGTCCTAAATGAATTATCGACCTGCATAAATAGTGCCACAGATCCACAGAGCACCAATTCATTACGTGGGGTGAGAGGAAAGGCGAAGGAGGGGCTGGGTGAAGGGGAAGCCATGGGCACAGTGGAGAGAGACCACTGGTTCCAGCCCTGTGGCTCTCACCTCCCGAGGGAGCACTAGGTGGAGCCAGGGATGCTGCAGGACAACCCCAGCTGCCCACCAACCCCTCTCCCGAGGTGGGTGTGTTGCTGGACCTCACTGTGGCTTGGACAGAGGCTGGGAGGAGGATGGTGCTGAGAGGCAGAGGCCTGATCCTAATGATCAGCAACTGAACCACAGGAAGTGTAGTCCACCCTGCAAGGCAGCGAGGCTGGTAGTCTCGGCTGACTTCATCAACAGGACACTCTGCCTTCAAATGGTTGTCCTCTAGGGCTGTACATCTCGTGAATGGTGGAGGCAGGACTCAGGCCCAACCCAAGCCCTGGGGTCTGTTCCCACAGTCTGGAGGGTTGCTGCGTGGGGTCCCTCTGGGCTCCCTGGCACCGCTTCACAGAGGACTCTGGCTCCCGGTGGCCCTGTGCACTCGTGTGTTAGGAGCTGAGAATGGGAGGGACAGCAAGACAGGCTGCAACTCTCACCCTGGCAAAGCTCTCTAGCTTGTCACCTGGGGGTGCATACAAAGGGCAACTTACTAGTCTAGTTCACAGCTGCCTCCTCAGCCAAGCCAATTTACTTGGGATGTAATTAGCTTTTTTTTTTTTAACACCAACAAACCCAAATCATTATCTTTCCCCAGCAGGTGGGGTCCCTGCTCCCTCACTAGCTCCTGGTGTGGTCCCCAGTACCCCTGTGCCAGGAAGGCTGCTCCACAGTGGGTGGCCACCCTCGATTCACATACCACTTTCTGGAACTGCTTCTCCTTGCGCACCTCCACCATGACCAGCCCCTCCTTCACCAAGCCCAGGCCCACATCACCCTTGGAATCAGCGAACTGCAGGGTGACATGGGGACAGCCGGCGCTCAGGTGTTCCACGTTGAGCAGGCACTGAGTGTTCTGGATATCTCGCACCACGCTGTCCACAGCGTCTGTCCGAGCATCCTCCTGGAACAGGGACACACCCGGGTTAGAGGGAGAGGTAAGCACAGCAATGAGAGTCAGGGGCCAGCAGGTGCCAGGGTCTCACCCTCCACTACTCAGATCCTAATGAGGGAGGAAACAGGTACTGGACCTCCAGTGCCCCCCTCTTTCTCCCATTTTTCCCCTCCCTGCAAGCTTATCTGTGTATCATCCCATCCTTTTCTGTCCCAGGCTCTTCCTCCTGAGGCCAGGGGACTGCGACATGCACCAAGGCCCCCCTCCTTCCTGTCCCATCTTCCGTGCATTCACCCTGGTACATGCCCATAGTCTCAACTACTCGGATCCTAGGTCCCCATGATTCTAGGTCTTATTTCACTTTCCAAACGGAACACTATCAAGTCCCCAATCTGTTCCTTCTTGCCGCCCCTCTTGGCCAACAGCTACATATCCACACCAAGGAGCCCCAGAGCCATCCGTGATGCCACCACTCCTGCACACCAGTGCCCACCCACCCGCCCTGATGGTGCTCCGAGACTGGCCTATTTCCCCCAGCTTCTACTCTACGGTTTGTGTGGTTGTCACTATCTCTAACCTGGACTTTCAACTGCAAACATCTCTCAACCATTCCTTCCAGTCTGCCAAAAGTTAACTCTCAAAAGTAGATCTGACTATGTCACACCCCTGCTGAAAATTCTGTCACAATGCCTTCACCTGCTACATGAAGAATAAACTCCTTGTCAGGGCAGACAAGGCCTCAATGCCCAGGCCCTGGCTTACCTTTCCCTTCTCATCTCCCACCATTTCCTGCAAGGCCCTTGACACCAACTGAAGTGGACCAGTTGCCCAAATGCACACTGGCCCACCAGGCCTGCCCATTTCTGAAGAACTAGCTCGGATACTCAACTTCCCTTAACTTCCTCGGTCATTCCCACCACAAATCCTGTGACCGACAGCCCGCCGATCATTGTTTCATCTCCTCCCGTCCGCCTGTGAGGCTGCAGCAATGCTGTGTGTCACTGGACAGTCCCCTTCAGAGCAAGGAAGATGTGCAGACTCACGTCTTGGGGCACCTGGATGAAGGCGAAGGCATACTCTGTGGCTTGAGCTGGCAGCACACGAGTGCTAAAGGCAGGTGGCAGGGCACCCAGGCGGGTGGACGGCAGGATCTCTCTCTGCAGATGACATCCGAGGCAAACACATCACACAGTCAACGCCCCCTTATTCTCAGAGGACAACTCCCTGGGGCCAGGCCTCTGGGAAGTTTAACTCGGGGCTTCCCTCACTGGCCCACAAGCACCGGCGTGCCCTTGCCCAGTCAACAAAGCCATGTTCTCCATGTCCCACTGGGTCCTGCGTAGGTAGGTAGCTGTAACTCATGCCCTCTCACTATGAGCCTAGTGCTGGCACACCTGGTGGCTCCTGCTAAAGTAATCTATTTGATAACTGGGCTGTAATCGCTGTTTCCATTTCTTTCAAATACCTTTCCTATATGGCATGGGTTCCCTGAATAGTTTCCCACAGGCCAGGGGCTCTGCTTGGGAGAGTACAGACAGACCAGGTCCTGACGCCCCCTGCCTGCCTGTGGTCCTGGCGCTGGTGTGCGGCCAACCTCAACCCCTCCCGGTGTTTGCCCAGGTGGTCAGCTGGGAACACGGTCCTGCTCTGAGCTCTCTGCTAACCTGCCTCAAACTCAGTCCTTCAGGATGGCGGGCCGCCATGACCACACCTCAGGGTTCTGACCTGTAACTGTCTCTCCTGCCTGGGAGATGCCCACTGGGAACTTCCTAGGAACTGTTGACAGATTCCCAGGCCCTGCCCAAGGGGCTTTTACCCCCAGGGCACCTGTCACTCTGCCACCCTGTGGCTGTCCCTTCCCAAAAACCCTGGCTATGGGAAATGCTGGGGAGCAGCATGCAGCCCCCAGCTGAGTGAGCGTGGGAACCAGGAGCCATGGGTACAGTGGGCCTGCATGGGCCCATTCTCAGAGGGGTTGGCCAGAAAAGGAACTGTGGGTGCAGTTCAGCCCTGGGGCTTGGACAGGAGACCTCTCAGTTTCCACAGGCTCTAACCAGAGACACCAGTTTTGCCCGATCATTTGGGTCACTGGCTTTTTACACGACCCGTACAATTGAGATGCGCACACACTCCCTGTTGTGTAAGGGAGTCCAGAGCTGGGAGAGACCTCTGAGAGGCCAGATGGGCTTCACCAGAGCGCTACTGTGTGGAATGGCCCCCGGCAGTCACTTGGGGCTCTTCCCTTGCCTACTTGTCAGCCCCCGCCCCCGTGCCCCACACTCACGTTGCCATAGTCGATGTAGAAGACATGTACTTTGGCAGGAGACTCGACTTTCTCTATGCGGGCACGGTACCTGCAAAGACATTACAGGCAGAGCTCACGGGACCAGCCTCAAGAGTCCGGCCTCCCTGGAGCCTTAGGGAGGGCAGGGCAGCCAGTATAGCATTTCCTTGCTCAGGGCTCGGAGTGAACACCCGTGGTTGTCATGGACAGTATAGTGACCAGACCCCACCAAAGCCCACGCTCGGGGTGCTGTGGCCATCACCTCAGAAAATCAGAGCAGAGCTGGGAGCAGAGGGAGGGAGCAGGGAGCATGTGGAGCAGATTAATGTGTCCTTGGGGCATAAAGCAACAAGACTAATGACTAGATTGATGTCTGCTGTTTAAACCCAGCACACTAAACAGCAGCTGTAATTAGCCGGCAGATCTGTCTGGGAGGCCGCAGCAGGGAACATATCCAAGTCACTTCGTCACCCTGGGAAGGCCATGGGCCCTACCCTTGGTAGAGCGGACATTAAGTGACCTTGCAGCCTGTGAGCTCTGCTGCTCATGTCCCACACGGGTGGAGGGTTGGGTGGCTGGTCTGCGCCCGGTGAGAACCAACTTCTGCCATCAGTGCCCCCATTTGTCCTGTGTGGGGTGAGAGGTGTGTTGGAGAGCCCCAGTCAGCCAGGGCTCCCCTAATGGTGTCCCAGGAGAGACAAGGAGGGACACCACCTCTGTACTCCAGAGGCTGGCCGGGCTGCGGGCAGTGCAGAGGGCCACCCCGGCAAGCAGGCCAAGGTCAACCACCACCACCTAGTAGACACCCAGCTGCGAAGGCCAATGCCTCAGGTCTAGCAGGGAGCCCTCTGCCGGCCTACCCGAGGACAGACCTATTATCATGCCTGCTTAAGACTCGGCCCTCCTCGGGTCCAAGTGGCTTACCACTCTCCATCTTCAAACTTGGCAATGCAGAACTCTCCCCGGCGTGGGGCATAGGAGCCCTCGACAGGGGGGTGGCTGGTGATGTCGTTTCGCATGTTCTCCATCAGCTTCTCCAGCTGAGTACCTGCCGGGGAAGAGGGAGTGAGACTGGGAGTCATGTTCTCTGGAGCCTCATCTCTAGGTAGGGTTGGGGAGGCCAGGTGAGACTGGGAATCGGGCAGGATGTGGATTCTGCCTGCAGCCCTGGCTCATTCCACCCCGTGGGGAAGTCCTTTTTGGTCCCTGCTCAAAAGGTTTCATCATCTCCACAAGCGGGATGGTGACAGGCTGACACTTCAGGCCTTAGGGGCGCACACAGTCTTCTGAGCTCATCCCTCTAATCTGCCAGTCCTGGCTGGGGAAGCCCTCAGGAATGTTTCTGGGCTTTGTTTAAGGAGGTGGAAAAGTAGAAGTGAGTGCATACGGAACAAGGCTGAGGCCAAGCAGCCTCCTCCAGGGGTGAGCTGGACAGGGAGCACCCACTCCTACAGAGGCTGGCCTTGGCCTGGGCCACCAGGTGGTGAGTGACGGCAGCCGCTCTTGGCTAACAAAGAAGCTTCTATACAGACACTACACTGTGAGCTCCTTCAGGGCACAGACTGGGGCTCACTGATCTGTTAACTCTTGCCGGGCCTAGTAAATCCCCTTTGCCTGTAAGGTGCTTAATAATTCCACTGCATTGAAGAGGAACTTGGCATACACACTTGAGGGCCTATGTCCACTCTTGGCCTCTGCATGTTCACTGGCCCAGTGTCCACAAAGCTGGGTTCCAGAACAAGGACGTCAGCTGCCCTCTCCCCTCCCCAGCAGTAAATGCTCTGTCACTCTTCTGGGGCAGCATTCCTTGCCCACAGTAAAATTTCAGGAACTAACAAAGAAGCTTCTACACAGACAAGTTGTTCCTATACTTGGTCAATGTTTACTACTTCTTATTTTTTTGGCTCCAAGGCAGCAGAAGCAGATTTCACCTCCTGCACGAGGCAAAGCCCCTTGGGAGGTCCTCACAGAGTCGGGTTGGTCATTTACAGCAAATGGCAATGCGATCATTTCATCAGATCCTTCCTGAAGGCGGGCTTTAATTAAGAGAAGGGAGACAGGGTAAAAGGATGTCCCCCACGAGGGAAGGTTTCAGAAGAGGGAGCTGTGCATGTTGCGGTTTATTTTCATGGACTCTATGGAGCCAGCGGGAAGGGAGATTTCTTCCTGAAGCCCATCACGACTCTCTCCAGGTGGGCTACCACAAAGCACCTTGCTCCGTCTTCAATATTCCAGTAATATATGCTTCGCCTCTCAGTTCTCTTGCCTTGCTGTTATTCTGCCTTGGCTACCACATGCTGCAGTGTCTCAGCTTCCTACAGTTCAGAGATGGCCGGGCAGGCACGGAAAGATTAGAGACTATGTGGTCGAAGGCCTTGAACCCTCAGGCTTTGTCCCCTGGCGACTTCGGGGCCCTGTCCTTGTTACACGTGGCTCCTACCCAGTGGGGTATGGAGGCCAGGTGAGCCACATGGGAGCTGTCATACCCCAGGGCAGGGTCATCTTTGAGTTCCCTTTCTCTCAAGCTCCCCGACGGCCATCTGGCTGGCTCCTGCACTCAGGAACAGCTCTCACTCCCCCCTGAACCACAACAGGACGCCTTCCCTGCCGTGCCACACAGCCCTGGAGGCCAGCCCCCCTTACACCAAGACTGCAGCTGAGCAAGAGAACCTAAACCTGAAGGCTCATCAGTTCCCTCTCTACTACTCTCCAGCTTTTCCAAGTACAGCTAATCTAGGGCTCAAAATTGTCAGTTTTTCTTGATGAAATGACATTGCCACAAAAGCAGCTGCCCGGGAAATATCATTAGAAGGGGAAGTGGCTGAGACGAAGTGGATGGCAATCTGGAAGAGGCCTGGGGGTGGGGCTCAGGAGGCTACCACTGGCCCAACGGAGTGCCAGTGACAGACAACTTTAGTCCCCAGTGCCTTGAAAGACCTGGCTCCTTGGACCCAGAGGTGGCTAGAAGAGCATTTCCCTCTGTGTTCAGCTAAAAGGTTTCCCTGCACATGGTGGCAATGAGAGGAGGGAGGTCGGGCGGGGGGGCGGGGGAGCGCAAAGGGAATGGAGGTGAAAGCTGGCCAGAGGGGCCACAGCGTAGCTGCGCTGAGAGTTTTCTCTATTGCTGTTTCCCAGAAGCCTGGGGTCTCTGCCTAGGGGACTCTGGCCACAGTGCATAGCACTTGAGGGAAGGTGGGGGGAGGAGGAGGATGGAGAGAGAGGGTCCTTTGAAAGACTGCCCGGGACCAATTCCCCTAGAGCTCTGCCTGTTTCCATGGCAACTGGCTACCACTCAGGGCTATGGCAACCTCTAGAGCAGGAGAAACCTGGGCCTAGATGAGCACAGGCTCCCCTCCTGCTGCCTTCCCCAGGAAGCTGAGGGGGAAAAGAGCCGAGTGATGATCTGTGCATCCTGACCACACAGAGACGATTTGTCTGTTGTCTCCTGTCTGAGGGGACAAATTTGCACACCCAGTGTAGCCAGGGGTGTCTGTGAGCAAAACAATTACCTAAGAGTCTCGGAGAACCATCCAGACAAAACTGCTTACCTCACCAGCCCTCAGAGGACCTGCTCGGCCTTGCTCCCGTTACAGCTCACATGCAGTCCATGAAATGACCAGTGGGCCCAGAGAGCAGTACACAGGGCCTGGGTGCTGGGCAGCAGCCCTCCTTCCCACCCCCTACAGGGGCCCTGGAGGCAGGCTGGACCATGCCAGGAGCCCCAGGGTGGCAGTGCTGGGGCTGGACATGAGCACGCACCGGTCTCCACATCCTGCACATAGAAGTGCAGGTCGTCGGTGATCTCTGTCACAAACACTGGCTTGTAGCTGGCTGAGCGCTCCTTCTCCTCCAGCACGGGTGTCACCTCCTCCACGGGCTGCTCCTCGTAGTGGGCCCAGACCTGCACATGCAGTCAGCAGAGGGCAGGAAGGGGTTGGGAAGTGAGGTCAGAAAGGACACCAGAAAAGGGGGCTTTGGGCAAGTGGGGTCAATCCTGGGGCCAGTGAGTATGGGGCTCGCCACAGAGCACTTGCATCAGCTGGGCCGAGGCCCTGGAACTCTAGAGGTGGGGGAGGGAGAGCACTCTGGAGTTCTTCTGACCCAGTAGTTCTCAAATTCTGGCAAGTATCAGAAGCAACTGCAGAGCTTATTAAAAACGCAGGTGCCTGGGTCCCAAAGTAGGCTCCAGGGCAACCAAAATAGGGTTTGTTGTGTGTGTCCCAGAGAGAGTAAAACAAAACCAAAGGCTCCCAGGTGATTCTCATGCCCATCAGAGTGTGAGAAGCTTGGCGCTGGAGTGGTTCTGGGCCACGGCTCCCTCCCTCACACCACTCTGCAGGGGTCACTGCATTCTCTAGAGCCTCCTACCAGCACAGGGCCACAGGCCCTGGAGGGGAGGGCGTCACTGTGCAGGAATGCCTCTTCTCAGCAACTCCTCTGTCCTCCTCACCTTGAGCAGGCTGCTCTGACCCCAGCTCAGAAGCTGGGCCGCCTCCTCCACCCTTTCCTCCAACCCCCACCAAGCCCTGCACTGTCAGGGCTATAGCAGCTTGGCTCGGAAGCTGATTCCATGTGACAGCATGTCAAGTCCAATCCTGTGGCCAGGAGATTATCCCAGTAGCAAGGCCTGTTAGAGCAGGGGTGGGAGGTGGCTTTTCAGCTGAGCAGCGAGAAGGGGTTGGGGTGCTGGTGTCCTTTCGACACATGGGGTCCCACCAACACACACACACACACACACACACACACACACACACACAGGAACTGGGCACTAAAAAGGTTAGCCAAAAATTTACATGCTTACCAGGTGCCAGGTGCCATCCTGAACATTTGCTAAGTATTAACTCATTCAATCCTTACAGCCACCTTTTAAGTACTTATTACCCTGCTTTACAAATGAGGAAACTGAGGCACACAGTCTTGCTAGAAGTAGTGGAACCAGGATTTGAACACAGGCAGTCTGGCTCTGGAGCTCTTCAAGGGACATGTGGCAGTGGCTGAGCCTCTGCAGACAGAAGCAGCTGTAGGCAGCAGGAAAAACTAGGTGGGAGACAGGCATTCCTTTCATTCTCCCCCGAATTTGCTGTTTGACTTTGGTTAAGCCACGGGCTTTCCCTGAGCCGCTCCTTTGCTTCCCTTGCAAAGAGATACTCTGGCCACAGCATCACTCAGCTGACATGCAGATTCCTGGGTGGCATCAGGAAGCAGCTGAAGGGCAAGAATGAAATCACTGAACTACCTTGGCTCAGAGCTCCTGCCTTTAATGTGGCATGAGTGTATGTTCTTCCACTAGAAGGGGAGACAGGGGCCTTGAGAAATGGAATGAACAGGAGGGACTTTCTGAGCCCAGGAGAGGCTGCCAGGAGTAGTGGAGGGGGAAGGGAGAGACCTCCCCTAGGCCCAATCTTCTGCCAGCCACTCGTGCAGAGCTCTCTGCTCTCGGAGGCTGAGCTCATGGGCCCCTTGTCTGGAGCTGTACTTAAGAACAAACAGCTCCTGACCCTGCTCACTTTCTCCCAACACCTGTCCCATTGCTACGGCCACCTCCCTTGTCTCTAGCACCTAGATACCTCTGCTTCCAACACCCCCAGGCGGGGCCGACACAGGAGAGGAGGCAGGTGGGAAAACTTCAACTCAGTCAGATCAGAGACTCTTGGTCTTATCCCTCAAGGGCCCACTGGCCCTTATGGGGAAGGGGACTTCTAGATTTTGGACTTTCCTGTGAAAGGGTCTCTCCAGTCAGAGGGCATGGCACAGATAGTCACAATTACTTCAATTCTAAGGCCTATATCCTGTTAAGGTTGAGGCTTTTTTCCTGGGCCCCTGGCTGGAAGTTCCCCAGGGAAGTGACTACTCAGCCAGTCATTCCAATCGGTGTCTGGGCTCTCAGCTCCCAGGATGTGTGGGACTCGTACTGCCTCTGAGAGACAAAACTGTCAGAACTGGAGCTGGGACCGAGCCCCAGCCCGCACCAGTGGCCTTCCAGACCCAGAAGTCTGTCTCCTGCCCCTTCTCCTGCCAGTACCCACCCTCCAATCTGGCTGCAGTCCCTCTGCCCACTAGACCAAGTCAGCGGGCTCTGCCCTCTCCCACCTTGCTCTTTCTTCTTGCCCAGTGTGCAGCATGTTAGAGACTCCGTCCCTGAGCTGTTCTGGGCTTGCAGCCTAACCCCACCCTGTCTCTCTTGGCTGTGGTTAAGGAGGATCCTCCCGGTGTTGATGGATTGAGAACAGACTGACAGAGTGAGAGCAGAAACTGCTAAGGACACCTCAGGTAAATGGGCCTCAAGTGACAGCATCAGGTTCGCCTTCGGGGTGAGGGGGTGGAGCCTCTTCCCACAGGCTGAGGTGGGCAGCAAGCTTGAAGTCAAGGTTGATGTAGACAGAAGCCTCCAGGATGGCCCTCGGGCCCTGGGCTCCCATATGCAGGGCAGCAATAGCACTAGTCGCAGGACAAGGTCCCACTGCTCACTGGGTGACAGGACGGGCACAGTGGTAGTAAAGGCACCAACGCATGAGGTTGACACTGGGTAGACGAGGGAGAGCTGCTCCTCAGATAAAGAACTCCATTCTAAGAGGGCTGGCTTGGCCCCTAGAATAGGCGAGGCTTCCAGGTTCCCTCTCCCTTGGGGCATGGGATGGAGGTGACCAGCTATTCCCTGGCACTTGGCCACCAGTGACCCTTGGCAAGCTGGTAAAGGCAGCTTGGACACAAGGCTTCTTGGTGGGAAGGATTCAGTCAGCTGGTATGGCGTGGATGCCCAAGTCCCCATCCTTAGAGCAAGGGCACATTTTGCCCACATCGTCTTACAGTGCCCTTCTGCAAAACTGAGGCGGCAGGAGACACACAGCACTTCCCCACAGCCATGTTAAGCCCTGCCACAGCTCAGATCCCTGACAGAGGCTTGTTTTTGGGAATTCCCATATGGGCTGTTCTCTTCCTGGACCCCTTCCAGAAGAGACAGCAACTGTGCACACAGACACATAGTCAGTGGCCGAGGCAAGGCCCCTCTGCGGCTCCCTCAGGGCCCTGGCTATAGGCCCAGGTGGGGACCAGACAAGGGAAGCACTACTCTCCGCCCTCATCTGCTCCGTGCTGCTCTGTCATGCCAGTTCCTGCTCTGCTCAGGCCGCCTCTATCCAGGTGGAGAGCAGAGGCTCCTCGCCTGTCCTCGGCCGTCCCTCTCCCCTGTACTCCCTCCCCGGGGAGCCCCAGGCTTTCCTCCTGCCAGGAGATGGGCAATGTGGACTGAGGCTCCACTGGCTGGAGCCTTTCCCTTCCAAATCCTGTTTAATATTGCTGCTCAGGAGGCTCCAAGAGTAGACTGGCATGGGTGGGGGATGCGGGGTACTCAGGTGGAGGTCTTCAAGACCACAGCGGGGAAGCCAAATTCAATAAAAGCCAATCAATGGCCAATCCAGCCTTACATGGGGCCCTGCTGGGGAATGAGGGGTAGGGGGGCAGGGGACAGTCCAGGTGGCTGCCTTTTACAGCTCCCTTTTTGGTCCTCAGACTTGCCCAGGACCCCTGAACGAGGGGCGGGTTACCTTGCACCAGCCTCCTGCAGAGGAAGGGGAGGCCTGACCAGCCTCGTCACAAGGAGAAGTATCTGCAGGGCACAGGGAGGAATTAGGCCCAGCAGGGAGGCAGCTAAATTCCCTTAGCTGGGAAACCAGCACTGTGAGGTTCCCCCTAGACAGACCCACTCAAATGCACACACACAGTGACACTCCCTGGAGATGTCTGCATGCTCCTAGTCTCACAAAATCATTTAGCTCACAGGTACCACCATGAACTCTCACCGCCAGATATGCCTACTTCTGGACAGCTGAGGCAGCCCTCATGGGGTCACAAGAGGGGCAAGGTTGGGAGTCCTGGGGATATCTCAGAATAGCCGGTATACTGTCCCCTAGCTGGCCACCAAATTCTCCTGTGAATCCAATCAACTCAGAGTTGCTACAAAGCTCTGCCCAAGCTGTCCTTGAGAACCAGCCCCACTAGGGAGCGGCAAGTCACACTAGGCCCCTCAGGACCCTTGAAGAGGATGGGATATGCTGGGGAGGGACCCAGGAGGCAGGCAGGCCCTTGCACTGTGAGTAGTGCACTTAACTTTAATTAGACTGAAATAAAAGCACACAGCCTGTGTAAGCAGTTCATCACTGGTACTTCTCAGCATCGTCACATCACATGGCACCAGGGAAACGATGCCTTGGACTCTCTCAGACAAATCCACCATGTGGTAAATAGTGATGCCCAGTCCAGCACCTAGCATGGGACTGGACCCCTCCATCTGAGGCCAGATCCCCCTCTCTGTCCTCTCCTGGGTCCCTTTCGTCTCTATTATCAAGAGGGCAGAGGATAGCTCAGACCCAAAGAGGCAGCTTTTAGGCTTCTGTGCTGAGTAGGCAGCAAGCAGGGCCAGGGGCAAAGACGTATTCAGGCTCTGGACCTTGGAGGCTGGTGCTTGGAAACTGATTTCCCAGCTGCTAACACTTTGGTAAAGGTTCAGCCCTTTACACTCAAGGCCCCAGCACCACCACGCCTCCATTTCCCTGCAGCAGGCAGAGGACACGGGGGTGGCAGTCTTAAGTTCAGCTGTCACAAACAGGAAATTTAAGAGGAAGCTCCTTTGCTGGATGAAGCAAGGTTGCTTGCTTGTCTAGAAGACAGGGTTTAATGTGAACAGAAGTGGTGCCAGGAAGGGTGGAAACCTAGAGGCCTCACAGAGGCCCACTCCTCCAAGGCATGGACAGGTCACTTCACCTGTCCTGGATTTTTGGGCTGCCTCTCCCTGGCATCCTTCAAGCTCCCCCTGGGCTTGGTTGCCTGCCCTAATCCCTAGGAGACAGCAAGAAAAGATTGAGAGATCCAGGGGGAGAAGGGGATGGGTGCCTTCTCTCTTAGAAGAAACGTGGGAAGAGACTGGGTGAAATGCTCTGGGCTGGAGGAAAAAGAGGAGCCTTCTGGATTCCAAAGACCCCCTCTCCTACTGGCGGGTGTCTGGGCTTGGCTCTGGAAGGTGACTTGCAAGCCAGATGGCCGCCCCATGGGGAAGGAAGCGTTTACTCCTGGAACAAATTTATGACTCAGCATGGCTGTCCCATGAAATCCTCCTCGAGCTCAGAAAAGGCCTGACAAATTGGTGACTGGCTGATTTATCCCCATTATCGGGGCTGGCCTATAAGTCAGTGGAGACAGACTGAGTCAGGGGGTGCTGAGCCCAGCTCCCACCATCAAACCACTGGGTTCTTTAATCATCCATTTGTTTCCAAAAGCTGCTTTCTGACCCACCCCCGCCTTGTCTCTTCAATGCAGTGCCTGCAGAGACTGATGGGCTATAAATCTGCTGTCCTAACAGCTTTATGTATCTCCTGGGGCAGCTTCCAAAATGGGCTTCCCTGCAGGGCACTGGAAAGGAAATTTAGAGATGGGCTGCAGACTGCCTGGTCCCTCTGAGGGTACTGCACTGTAGAAGGGTCAGGACCAGTAAAGGAATGCCCCCAGTCTCCTGCTCACCAGGGGCTCCCCAAGTCATTCCTCTCATTGTTCTAAGGTTACCCTCCAGACAGCATCCAGCTCCAGTTCTACCACAGCAGGCCTGACAGGGGTGCTCAGAGCCTAGTCTGTGGCCCACTTCAGATCTGCAACAGGCTTATGGCTGAGGATGCTAAGACAGCAGCCACTCCCTTGGTCAGGTGTGGTTCCTGATGTCAGACCACACTGAATGGGGCCACTCTGTTGGGGTCCCACAGAACCCTTCTGTCTGCCGCTTGGAGGCAGTGGTGTTAGTGTGTGCGGAGGAGTGCAGAACGGCTGGAGGAGCGGCACCCACCTCCTCCCTTGCCAGGCCCGATCCCAGCCCCGCACCTTCTCTCTCTTCTGCTTGGCGGCCTCCTCGGCAGATAGCAGGGATTTGTAGTAGGAGCTGCGCTCAGCAGTGAAGTGGACTTTGGAGAGTGCGTGCTCCACCAGCAACACGGACAGATTGGCGCCGTCAATGTGCAGCCAACCGATGAAGTTGCCGGCTTTGTCCATGCTCTCTACCTCCACTTCTACCTGGGGAACACAGAAAGGGGGCATCAGTCTCTAGGGGGTGGCCCTGGGTACCCACCCAAGTGGTCACTCCTTGTGATGTGCAGCTGGACTGAGAAGAGGTAAGGCACATGTTACGCAGAAGAGCGTGGTTAAACCCCTGCACTGCCAACCCTCTTAGAACCCTTCACTTTAGTTCTGGAAGTTGGGTCTACGCTTTTTAGCCTCTGGCCCCAGAATCATCCTTGATAGATATGTTATTAACTAAGCAATGTCAAAACTGCCCTCTCTTCTCAGAGCCCCTCCTGTTCCTTTAGGCAGACAGCTACTAGGGTAAACTCTACCCTCATTAGCTTAAGTGAGAGAGTCCGTGTTGCAGGGTGTGGTGTGGTGTGCTGTGGTGTGGTGTGTGTACACATATGCAGAAACACAGAGCTGGGAGGTCAAGAGAGAGGCAAGCACCAGACACAGCTCTGGAAACAGCCCATTGTCCTGTAGCACTCACCCGTGCCCAGCTCTGCTAGGAAGACAGGCAGGCCCTGGGGACAGGGGAGTGGAGCTGAGTCAATGCTTCTGGAAGGTAATAGAAGTGGAGAGATGAAAGCCAAGGGAGGTGAGGGAAGGGGACAAGTGGGCAGAAGGACATGGGCACAAGTACACTGATACCTGGTGGCAGGTTGGGGGTGACCCCAGCAGGATGTTACCCCTGAGAGGAGCAACTGGAAGGGTGTGGCCACTGCCATAGGCCCAGACACTGGGGGCCAGGTGCTGTGGCTGAACCCCAGAACCCTCAGGGGTCCCTGCAGGGCTCAACGCCTCCTTCACTGAGGGCCTTCCCAAGACCCAGGCCCCCAGATGTGGCCTGGACTGCTCCTCCAGAGGGTGGCCTTGCTGCCACAGTGGCCAGTCTGCTTCCACCTCATGCAGTCAGGGGCCCAGGGTAAATTCCTTCTCTGATTCTCTCCCAACCTTTCATCCCCTGCTAAATAAAGAGGCCTGTAAAAGCCTTTGCTGCCAAATGTAAAAACCTGTATTAATTTAAACAGCTTCAGGCTCGATTAAACAATAAAAAGAATGTCTAAATACCTGGGAATTCTGTAAAGCTTCGGCTGGAGCCAGTGGCAGCTGCTAGGGCACAGGGATGGAGGGGTGGGGAGGGGAGGCGAGCAGCCTGCCCACCTGCAGAGCTCTGACAGGCAGCAGGGCTGCTGGGGAACAGGACACCCCGTAAGGACTCGTGGTGGCTGTGCAGAGAGGGCAGAAGAGAAGGGGCAGGACAAGGATGGCAGCCCATCGGCTTCTTCCTGCTTGGCACACAGAGCTGGGAGGTCAAGAGTGAGGCAAGCGTCAGACACAGCTCTGGAAACAGCCCATTCTCCCTCAGCACTCACTCACGCCCAGCTCTGCTAGGAAGGCAGGCAGGCCCACAGTTAATCCTTCAAGTGGAAATACAAGTTCAACAATGCTTGAAGTTGGGGTGAGGCAGAGAGAGGATATGAAGAGTTTTAGCTAGAGAAAGAAGGTACTACATAGATCCAGTCCTAATTATTTTGGTGAGGAAACTGAAGCACAGAGAAGGAAAGTGTAGGTAGTAAGGGGCAGGAAGAATTGAGGTTTCACAGCTGCCTTCTTGACAGTGCCTCCTTTTCTTGGGAGGAAGGAGGAAATGAAGGAGGAAAAGACCCTCCTTCATCTTTCCTTTTTCCAAAGCGTGCTGTTTCAGGAGCGGTCCTTCATTCCTCCAGTCACATCTGTGACCCCTCTTCTCACTGGTTAATGCCAACTCCTTCTGCCATCTAGGACTGAGGGACCTTTCCCCTCACTGGCAGAGCCAGGGTGGAAGTGTTTGGTTCTGCTGGGCTGCGTCTGCCCAGCACCTGCTCCACACTGCTGATGGGTGGAAGCAGAGAACAAGCATCTAACCTGTAGATGGCAGAACACATCTCCCCTTTTCCTAATTGTGGCAATTAGTTTATTGGGGGGAACCTGTATTTGGGAGGGAAAAGGATGGGTAGGCAAAATGGTGATCTGATGAAAAACAGATGCCAAGATCTCACCAGCCAGTGAGCCAACCAAATTCGTCAGTGTGAGTGACAGATTTCCCAAAGAGCTTTCCCAGGGGGTACCTATAGTACGAGGGCCAAAGATGGAGGAAGAGGCTGCCAGGCTTGAGGCGGTTGGACAAGAACAGGGGTGGTGGGAAAAATGATAATGGGGAGACCATCTTCTACTCTTCCTCATTTGCCAAGCGTCACCAAATATGCAAAGGCAAGGAAGCAGCAAATCCCAGAGGAATTCTGGGAAGCAGTAGGAAGAATGGAGAGGCTGTCTGCTTTGTGACCGAGTGCTCATAACAGCTGGAGTGTGGAGGGTAACAATGCCGACTCCTACCACCACAACACCAGACACCTTGTATTTGGGGCTCACGAAATGACTCCTTGTGCCAGAGGAAAGCAAAGGTAACTGGTAGAGTTCCCAGGCCTACAGTGAGCCTGGGCCCGTGACAGTTCTCCCATTCCCAGACTTCTTGTCTTCCACTATGTTAGTAGCCAAGTATCCTTTCCTGCAATGGAAGGTGGCTGTCCTGCTTGAGCACGAGGCCTCCCTCCAGTCTCCAGAAGCTTGTGGTGGCTGGTATGGCTGTCACAAGAAACCTGATGGTCACCTGCATCATTCCTTTTGGTAATGGACTGATGGGACAGAGGCAAGAGCCTCAGGGATGAGTTGCAGAGGCAATCGGATCTCTCAGACTCTAAGGTGTGCATGTTCAGACCTCACTCCACACAGCACACTCCAAATTCACAATCACTCTCTGAAGCCATGAACCAGATGCTGGCCTCTTAAAGGCTCATGCTAGAGAGATCCTAATGACTAGCAGCCACACCTGGGGTGAATAGCCAGGCTCTCTTGGCAGGTGAGCATTGACTTCACTTACCCAGCCTCTCCCTGTCTGCAATCGATATGCTAACTTGTGCTTGACAAGTCCCTGGGCCCAGCTAGCTGCAGAGGAAAGAAAGCTCTGGCCTTGGGCACTGTGCTGCCACCGCATCCATCTCGGGTTGTAGAGGGAGATAAATCTGTCGCTCGTGGGTCTCTGCTTCCCCTTTTATTACAGCTGCCACAACCACAGTAATTTTTCAATCAAAGAAAGGCACTCAATGGATGGGGCTGAGCTAGTGTCCCTACTCCCAGTCTCTGGGCTTCTGGTCTCTCTAGCCAAGAACTCTGCTATGTCTATCCTCTGGACATGCCCTGGCCTGGATGGACACCTGGAGTTCAATTTGAAGACCAAAGTCTTAACTCTTCTCTAACTCTGGGGCAGTCACAAGGGGAACAGGGAGTTAAGCAGGGTGCTCCTAGGTTGCTACGATGTGTCCATCCTTCCTCATGCTTCTTTTTATATTCATTTCCAGGAATTTGTGGCTTGACTGTAACATTACGTGGGTCCATGTCTCTACAAGCTCTGTATCTCTGTTCAACTTTAAGACTCAGATTTTCCTATCTGTATCTCTATCATCTATCTAGGTCTCTACCTTTTTTAATAGAACAAGAGGTTTACCTAACTGAGCCTTGAGAGAGCGACAGGTTTTAACTAGTGTTAAATTAAGACTCGGATCTCTGATTATTTTCTCATATTAGATAAGAAATATGTGCAAATTAAACCCACAATGAGATATTACCTCACACTAGTCAGAGTACCTAATAGCAACAAGACGAGAAATAACAAGTGTTGAAAGGAAACCCTCCTACATTGTTGGCAGGAGTGTAAACTGGTGTGACCACTTTGGAAGCAGTATGGAGGTCCCTCAAAAACCTGCAAATAGGACACCATGTGTCCCAGGAATTCCACTTCTGGGAATTTGCCCAAAGAAAACAAAATCACCAATTCAAAAAGATACATGTTCTCCTATGCTTATCACAGCAGTATTTACAAAAGCAAAGATACGGAAGCAATCTAAGTGTCCATCAATAGATGAGCAGATAAAGAAGATGTGGTACATGTACACAATGGACTCACTCCACACAGCACACTCCAAATTCACAATCACTCTCTGAAGCCATGAACCAGATGCTGGCCTCTTAAAGGCTCATGCTAGAGAGATCCTAATGACTAGCAGCCACACCTGGGGTGAATAGCCAGGCTCTCTTGGCAGGTGAGCATTGACTTCACTTACCCAGCCTCTCCCTGTCTGCAATCGATATGCTAACTTGTGCTTGACAAGTCCCTGGGCCCAGCTAGCTGCAGAGGAAAGAAAGCTCTGGCCTTGGGCACTGTGCTGCCACCGCATCCATCTCGGGTTGTAGAGGGAGATAAATCTGTCGCTCGTGGGTCTCTGCTTCCCCTTTTATTACAGCTGCCACAACCACAGTAATTTTTCAATCAAAGAAAGGCACTCAATGGATGGGGCTGAGCTAGTGTCCCTACTCCCAGTCTCTGGGCTTCTGGTCTCTCTAGCCAAGAACTCTGCTATGTCTATCCTCTGGACATGCCCTGGCCTGGATGGACACCTGGAGTTCAATTTGAAGACCAAAGTCTTAACTCTTCTCTAACTCTGGGGCAGTCACAAGGGGAACAGGGAGTTAAGCAGGGTGCTCCTAGGTTGCTACGATGTGTCCATCCTTCCTCATGCTTCTTTTTATATTCATTTCCAGGAATTTGTGGCTTGACTGTAACATTACGTGGGTCCATGTCTCTACAAGCTCTGTATCTCTGTTCAACTTTAAGACTCAGATTTTCCTATCTGTATCTCTATCATCTATCTAGGTCTCTACCTTTTTTAATAGAACAAGAGGTTTACCTAACTGAGCCTTGAGAGAGCGACAGGTTTTAACTAGTGTTAAATTAAGACTCGGATCTCTGATTATTTTCTCATATTAGATAAGAAATATGTGCAAATTAAACCCACAATGAGATATTACCTCACACTAGTCAGAGTACCTAATAGCAACAAGACGAGAAATAACAAGTGTTGAAAGGAAACCCTCCTACATTGTTGGCAGGAGTGTAAACTGGTGTGACCACT